GTTCAAGGCCAGCCTGGTCTACATAGTGAGTTCCAGGACAGCTGGGGCTACAAGGAGACCCTGTCTCAAAGACCAAAAAAAATTAAGAGAGGGAAAAAAAAGTCACATGCTTCCAAGATACAATGGCATAGGGAAAACACTCTCATTCCCAAAGAAAGGAATAGGAAGATAGCAAACATTGGACTACAGCAAGATTGAACCCCAGCAGACAAACATTAAGTCCTCTTGCTCAGCTAGTGAGAGGGCTCAGAGGTAAAAGTGCTCGCTGCACAAGCCTGAGCACCTGAGTTCAATCCCTGGAATCCGTGGAAAGGAGAAAGGAGAAAACCAACTTTACACAGTTGTCCTCTGATTTCCATTACATGCATCATGTACACACAGACCTATACACAATAATAATAATAATTTTTTTTTAAATCCTCTAGCTCCATGTCCAGTATTCAGGGCACACAGTGATACACTGTGAATTCTAAAAAGCTCAGCCAACCTGCCCCCATGGCCTTGATGGCTGAAGCCTATATGGCTTCTCTCTGGCTGGCTTTGCTTACTGCCTATATCTTTCCTCACCAGACAATATTCCATGTTCCTGGCATCTCTGAGTTCCTGGAATCTCCAATTCAGCTTTGACTTCACTCTTCCAGCTTCATGGATCACCCTTTTGTGCTATTAGCAGGAATTCCAACTCTGCCACACACAACCTCCCAAACCCCCTTTAAAATCTCAGTGGGAAGCTGGGCATGGTGGCACACGCCTTTAATCCCAGCAGAGGCAGGCGGATCTCTGTGAGTTCAAGGCCAGCCTGGTCCCCATTAGCGAATCCAGGCCAGCTGCAGCTATAGGGAAACCTTGTCTCAAAAAAACCAAAAAAAAAAAAAAAATCTTAGAATAATTCCACAATTTTTTTCTTAATGTGTATGTATGTGAGACTGCCTAAGTTTATGTACACCATGTGATTGCAGAAGTCCACAGAGGCCAGAAGATGGCATTGGATCCCCTGGAACTGGAGTTACACAGGTGGTTGTGATTCACCATGTGGGTGCTGGGAACTGAAACTGGATCCTTTCCAAGAGCATTAAGAGCTCTTAACCATCGAACCACCTCTCTAGTCCAGACTGCTCAATTCTTACATCCTGTATGCCTGCAAAACTAGCATAATTTGGATGACACTAAGGTCTCATCATCTCGAGCACTATCCAGGCCTTCTTGGACCACAGTGGCCTCTTTGGTGTCTTGATGGTTGAACACAGTTGTTGAGCCTGGATGGGCATGCTCCCAATAGCTCAGAAGACCACAAGGTACCTCCTAGTAGTACCACAGGCTGGCAGCCAAACCATTAGCACATAGCCTTTGGGGGACTTTAGGATCTAAACTAACAGCCAGGTGCAGTATTGGCACTCAGTACTATGTTTGTTGCCTCCAGATGGGAATATGATGAGAGCTACTGTGATGCTGTGAAGAAAACATCTCCCTATGACTCAGGCCCTCGTCTCTTGGACATCATTGACACTGCTGTCTTTGATTACTTGATTGGTAATGCCGACCGCCATCACTATGAAAGCTTTCAAGATGATGAAGGTGCAAGTATGCTTATTCTTCTTGATAATGCCAAAAGGTAAGAGCAGCATGACTCTTTTGTCCATTTTTATGTGTAAAAGAGGGACACTTCTAGGGTATTATGCTAGCTTCAGACACTGACAAATACCTGTGATAACTTAAAAACATGAAATGTTTATTTTGGCTCATGGTTTCAGATATTTCAATTCATGATTTGCTGGCCTCGTTACTTTCAGGCTTGGGATGAGTTGAATCATCATGGCAAGGAGCACATACATGGTAGAACAAAGCTGCTCACCTCATGGCATCTGGGAAGCACAGAACAAGGAAAGGGGGCTAGAGTCCCAATATCTCTATCGAGGGCTCACCCTACTCCTCCTTTCACTGGACTCGACCTCCTGAAGGCGCCACTACCTCTCAGTAGTGCCACAGCCTGGCAACTAGTCCTCTAGCATATGAGCCTGTGGGGGAGACTTGAGATACAAGCTATCCTGGAAAACATTCAGAACAAATTCAATGGAAGATACTCTTTCTTCTGCATCGGGTGTTTGCCATTGGCACCCAGCTTTCCCAGGATCCTCATGAATTTTAAGATTTTTTAAAATAGGGAAGTGTTTATTATAGACAACTAGAGGCCAAGACCTTAATTTGTTCCTACAGCGCTCTTTCTTGGCTATGGTGTTTATAGAACCTCAAATCCAGGAGGGGTAGATTTAAGAGAATGTGGAAATTATTTAGTCTTAAGTATACTCTACCTAAAGGTTCGTTTTAATTTATTTAATAGTATGGCTTGCTATTTTTATGGTAGTCTAGGCCCAGACTTTCCTTTATGAGAAGAGCAGCAATTATATGTAAAGACAAGTTACTTTCTTCATAGTTGCCTGCTTTCACTTTTGGTTGTACTAATTGTTTCCTAGGGAGAATGCCACAGGCCCAGGATTTTCTAGGTTCTAGGTCAATATTGTTAACTTTGGATGCTAGAAATAAACTGAAACATGGTCCCTCAGCAAAGAATACTTGAGCAGTATTTGCAGATGATACCATCATCTTATATTCAACAACAAACACCTTCTGTCTATGAAGTGTGATGACAGCTACAAAAAGTAAGAGCTAGCAAACACCACCTTTCCCTCTAACCCATCTTAGCAAAGCAGGTATTAGTCAGTGCTGTGTATAGTCTAAAAATCTTCATTTTCACTTGTAAAATGATTGTTTTGTTAAGAAGATAAATGTACCATTATACACATGATATTTATATACATTATATACATGATATTTGTTTTATGCTATCTTAGTCTATTGAAGCTGCTGTAACAAAATACCTTAGACTGGGTAATTTATAAGCTGGAAATTGTATTGCTCACAGTTCTGGAGGCTGGGAAATCCCAGAACAAGGGGCCAGCAGATTTGTTGCCTAGTGAGGGCCCATTCCTCCTTCACTGTGCCTTCTAGTGTCCTCACATGGTGAAAGAGGTGAACAAGCTCCTCTGGCCTCTTATAGTGACACAGATTCCATTTTGAGTGTTCTGTGCTCCTGACTTAATCTCCCAAAGGCCTCATCTCTTAGACTCTCCCACTGGAGATTAAGTATCAGCATGAATTTGTGGGTAACAGAAACATTGGAAGGCTAGCGGCTGCCTTTCATGCACTGTCCTCAGGGCTAGCAGACGCTCCAGCCATTAAGGAGAACTTCAGGAAGAATGATGGTTGACTTACTTTTCCAGAAGCATCTCTCCTTTCCTAACAGAATACCATTTTATATCTGCTGTGAGTTGGTTCTTCCTTAGGCTCTGAAAGCTGCTGAGCAATTTCCCTGGTTTGAAGCTGCCAGTGTTCTTATAGGGATAGAGTATTGGTGATTCTGGAATAGAGAAAGTATACCTTTTTTCCACAAGTAAGAGCCACCAGCTTGTTTGGGGGACTCTAATATGAATAGCCTGGATTTCCCTGCCCACCTTTAAGAGGCTTTTCAACTCCAAGGGCAGTGCTCTCTGTGTGCTGACACCATACCAGGACTGACAGTTGATACGTTCCCCCACTTCATTGACTGCTGCACAAATAATGGCTGTTTGAACCCAGAAAAATTAAATAAAAAGAGGCTTTTCAAATTTAGAGGTTTTTGCCTTCTTCCTTTGATCTGAAAACTCACATTGTGTCCTCATAGACTCTAGCACCTTGACACATCTTGGCAGGAAATAGGATCCTTGTTAAATGAATTTGTTTTTTGACACTTTAGTACAGGCTGTTAATGATCCTGTGCCTAATTGGTCATTTCCTGCTTGTTTTTAATTTAAATTATTTGAGGTGTTGGTGCATGAAATTGTCTAGGGTCACACTTGGGTTTCTTAGAGAATTTGCTCTTGCTTTGATGCTGAGAAGGGAACTAATACTTCCACCCAATTTACTAAGTGTTAATTTAATTTTCAGCTTTGGGAACCCCTCACTGGATGAGAGAAGCATTCTCGCCCCCCTCTACCAGTGTTGCATGTAAGTTATGCACAGCAGAACTGTGTGCCTGCATTGCTTTCCTTTCAAGGTTCAGATAGCAGTATATCAATTTTCTTGACCTTAAAACTTCCTGATTCCTGAGCAGTGCTTTTTCTACTTTTCCAATCCAGAACCCCTGTAAATCCTGATGGGGATGAGGGGAAACAGAGAGGCAAGTGATCCAAAGCTCAGAATTAATTTTGAATTTTGTATGCCTAGAAATATGTAATATATTTAGTAATACACATGTGTTTGACTTAATATCCTGTCCCCACTTAAAAAAAAGCTAGCCTGGCATGGTGGTTCATGCCTTTAATTCTAGCACTTGGGAGGCAAAGGCAGGCAGATCTCTGAGTTCCAGGCCATCTAGAGCCATTTAATGAGATTGTCTCAAAAAATATAAACTAATTTAAAAATCTAGCAAAATCTGGAGTCTTAGTTGCTACATCTGATCCTCCTTAGGTTCAAGCCCTCTCACCTATCAGATTACCACCTGGGCTTTGTATTTCTTAGTTCCAAATGATCTAAACCAAAAGTAACTTCCCATAAATATTTGATAAGTGATTTAGATATATTAGAGAACAAATAAATTGAAAAGTAAATCAATAAAATGAAATAAAGATTGGGCTCTAAGAACTTCTGCTTCAGGTTCTTGTTCCTGGTCTGATTTTAAAGTATGCACATCAAGAATCAACTGGGGTTCACATTACTTGGCCATACAGAAAAGCAAGTCCCAGAGCACCTTTAGCTCCAGTCAGCCCCAGACACACTGCACCTATGACTGCTCCTCCAAAAAATTATTCTGCCTTCTCTCTCTTCTTTTTTGCCCCCTCCTCTTTTTTTCCAGTGCTAGGGATCAAACTCAGGGTGTCATGCATGGTAGGCAAGTACTGTACCATTAAGTTATACCCCAGTCCTCAACCCCCTTTTTCTGGTGAGGTGTGTATATGTGTGTGTATGTACAGGTATACATGTTGAGCATGAATATTTGACACAACAATTATTAATTTTTAATCTAATGAATTAATACAATGATTAATTAATAAATAATGAATATATGATAGAATATCCAAGGAGAATCTCTTCGCCATAGTTAGAGTTTGAACCTCAGTTGAGAAAATCCAGTTCATCCTGCTCGATAGCAGGGAAGCTTCCTGATTCCCAGGGGCTGGATAAACCAGAAGCAACCTTTCAGAGTACAGGTGGGGTACAGGCTGTCAGCCACTGGCAACTTCATGATCAGTCTGGGCTATAAGAGACCCTGTCTCGACAGCAACAACAACAGAAACCAGAGGGTCTCAGGAAAGTTATCACCAGCTATGGCTGAAGTATCATGGACTGGCACGTTCTGAGAATGTGGCTGAGGCAGAGCTTCCCTGACACCTCCCTTCTGCACCACAGTATCCAGAGGCCCTTCCTTTTGTACTGTCTACCGAGAAGGCTTATGAGGAGACATGCTTAAAGGAGTTTTGTCCGTTTTGAAAGCACACATACTGAAGTGTGAATTTGGTGTGAGACAACTCAGCAAAAACTCAGCTATACTGGAGAAGCTCTGATGTTCGGGGCATTTGTAGTAGTATTCAGAATGAGAAAACTGCCCATCACATGTAGCTATCCCTCTCTTCTGTGCTTTGTACAAAGATTTTTCTTCCTTGTTTTACAAATAGCTGTAAAACTCTTGCAGAGTCAGACATTTCTGCCTACGTAGTTACATATACTTTATCCCTACAGAGGTAAGAACTTTTTCTTTTGAGCTAAAAAATAAATTCTCTAGCTGCTTATTTTTCTTTTGAGATTAAAAAAAAATAAATTCTCTATTTTATAGTCTGTTTCGTTCTACTGTAACAATACCACAGACTGGGAATTGACCTCAGGTCCTCTGTGAGAACAGTAGGTGCTAAGCCAGCTCTCCAGGTCCAGAAATACAGATATATATATTTTTTTTCTTTTTGAGACAAGGTCTCCCCGTAGCCCCAGCTGTCCTGGAACTCGCTATGTAGATCAGGCTGGCTTCGAACTCACAAAGATCCTCCTGCCTCTGCCTCCCAAGTGCTAGGATTAAAGTCATGCGCCACCACGCCCGGCCAATACAGATATTCTTAAAATAAATCTTGTCCTATTAATAGTTGTAGAATTTTTTAAACTCAAACATTTTAAGAATGAAATGGAAATCCCCTTGAGTATCTCAGGATAACTCCTGTCATGTAGGTGTACTTCATTTTAATCATGTGGTCTAATCACTCTAATCACACATTTTGTTTCCCCCCAGATAGGGAATGAAAGAGCTTTTTTTTCTTTAACTTTCCCATGTCACTAAATTTTCAAAACTTTTTATTTCTCTAAATGGATTATCCATAATTTTTTAAGCATTTCTCAATTGTTAGATGTTCAGATTGGCTCAGTTTCCTTATTACTCTAGTGAATATGTATAAATCTTTGATTAATTACCCAGAAAAAGAGCAAAATATAGTAATGTGGCTCACTCCTAATACAGAGGCAAGTCTGAAACAGAAATGATTGTTTAAGTTAACATACTCAAAATGATTTCTTTAATCTTGCCTTTTTCTACCAGGCAAGCTTTAAGCTGAATTTGATCATAAGAAGTTTTATGCAACTTGTCTTAAAACTTTTTCCTTCAGCATTCGGGTTTCTACGTGGAATAGACTGAACTACCTAAAGAATGGAGTGCTAAAGTCTGCCTTAAAATCTGCCATGGCCCACGACCCCATCTCCCCCGTGCTCTCTGATCCTCACTTGGACGCTGTGGACCAGCGGCTCCTGAGTGTCCTGGCCACCGTGAAGCAGTGCACTGAGCAGTTTGGGATGGACACTGTGCTGGTGGAAGACAGGATGCCTCTCTCCCACTTGTAATTGTCAACACAAAATAAGTGAAACTTATTTTTACAAAGATAGAGAAACAGCACAATCAATTCCAAATGGCATGCAAGGCCTGGAAGTGGTCAGCAGCAAGCTGTGGTGGCAGAGGACAGGGTAGTCTTGGGAGTGCTTGTGTCCTCTGTAGTGGAAGCTAAAGTAAAGACCACAAGTTTGAGAGCATGAGCTGTGTCTGCGGAATCACCTTCTGACTCCTCAGCATTTCTGGCAGCATACCAACTTTGGTCAGTCTTTATTCCTATGCCAAAGGACAAACAGAGCAGTGACATTTGGATAGGGGAATGCTGGATTGCTTCCAGAGTGTGTATTTTGAGTGAACCTTGCAGTTCTTTCCTGTACCTGTGATTTTAAACACTGCAGTCTCTTTTGTCTTTTTCTTTTAACCAGGACCAGTCAAATTGGAAAACTTACTGCCTCTTCCAGAGTGGCAGCAAATAAAACCTTTCATTCTGTTGATCCAAAATAGCTACTGTGCTGGAGGAGATCCATTTTTAAGGTAGAAGGAACGTAAAAGCAGGAAGATGGGGGCTCGCCTATTGTGTATTGTGGATTTGATGATCTCAGGGAAGGGAAGAAGAGGGAAGGACCCAGTCTGTAGAAGCAGGAACAACAGGAAGATGATTGACTTAGTGAAAGCAAGTTCCCCTAGGTTCAGGTTCTTAGTTGTGTCCAAAGCAAATATGATTTTGTAACAAAGTAAAATCTTCAAATCCCCCAGTTGTGTTCCAATTAACCAAAAAAATGTCTTAGAGAAAATACTGTTGCAACACAAGCATTATTCTGTATGGACACTAGTGATATGTGCCGCACCCTTCCCCGCCCAGCCTTTTGCCTAAAGTAAGCAAATACAAATTAAACAAACTAAAATAATATCCTGAACAAGTCAGGCTGCCTGTGATCTCTGCCATCCTTGTTTTTCTTATTTCAATCCACCCCATGGTGATGTTTATTTTGAGATAAAATCTCACTCCAGCCCATGCTGGTCTGGAACTCACAAACCCAGGCTGGCATTGACCTGGCAGCAATCAGTCTCCCACATGCTAAGATTATAGGTATGAGCCATCATGGCCAGCTCTTACTTCTCTCCTAAGGTGAATTCATACAACTGGCCTGTGAGGCCTTTGATCATTGATGCTGCTATTCCCAGGAGACTGATGACCTTGTTTGTGCCTTTCTTGTGAGAAAGGGGACTAGGAGACAGGAGATCATGAATGTCCTGCTAGTAGCTAAGCTTGTAACAGGCCCTACAGCTGAGTAGAATCAAAGATTTTTAGCTTTTTGAGTCTTGGAATTTAGGAGATTGCCAGAAAGAGCCTTAAGCTTTTGATTTATATCAAATCCTGATTGCATCCTTCTCATTTGGAGTCTGAACCCATGAGTAGTACAGTTCTTTCGTCTCCACATTTTGGTTTAGTTTGTATGTTCTGGTGAAGTATGTTTTGAAAATTGCAAAGCTAGGGAATAGCCTGGGAAACCCCTCTACCTATACTCAGAGTTGTGTGCCTTCTTTCTGCACCTTATGTCACCCCAGTTCTGGACTTCTGTCAAGACAAGCATTTTAGCAGTGTGTTCAAACACATTTAATGCCAGCTACTGAGACCAGTTTTAGGCAACTACCCCAGCTTTCTCACATCGGAACTGAGTAGCTTATAACTAATTTAAAATGGCATGAAATTAGGAAAAGTTTAAATATTTATGTACATTTTGAGGTGGATTAAAGAATGGATTGAGTTAAAAAAGAAACTCAGGGTATTGAACTTAGAAAACAAATATTAGCACAAAACACTGAAACAGTGTTAACAAAAGGAGGCATTGATGTCAGTTTTTGGGCCACTTGCTGTGTGTATCCAAGGAAACGTACAATTCAGCTTGAGAATTCCTTGGTTGGTGCTTGCCCCAAAGCAGGGCCAGCTGTGGGGAACAGAGGACCACAGTCTTCTCTGCTCCTCAGTGTAACTAAATTGCCAATTAGCTTTCTGTCAGACACATGTTGCTGAAATGAATAAGAACTGTTCCCAGACTAGGAATTCATAATGCTGAAGGCAGAAGATTCTGAGGTAAATCCGCTGCTTTGAAAAAAAATGTCTCAGCCAGGTGTGGTGGTGCGTGCTCTCCTCAGCACTCAGGAGGGAGAGGAGGCAGGTGGAACTTTGTGAGATGGAGGCCAGCCTGGTCTTCATAGTGAGAGCCTGTCTCAAAAAAGAAAGTCATTCTTCAGAGCAGTCGCAGAAAGTGGTATTGTCATCACATTCTTCTTAACTATTTTCAAGCTCATGGTATTAGATGTTCAGATCCACAGTGGCTAAAATTTGAATTACGCCAATAGAAGGTGTGACATAATGGTGAGAATACAAATTTGCGTTCTAAGTTAGTATTGGGAAAAGTATATTTAAGTGAATTTTTTTTGCCTGGGGGCAGGGAGAGGGGATGGACCCAACTAGATGCTTATAGCTCCAAATTTATAGGCACAAAGCACTGTTTGAAAAAAGAGGTGGAGGTCGGGCATGGTGATGCCCGCCTTTAGTCCCAGCACTTGGGAGGCAGAGGCAGGTAGATCTCTGAGTTCAAGGCCAGCCTGGTCTACATCATTCCAGGCCAGCTGGGGCTACAGGGAGACCCTGTCTCAAAAAAAGACCAAAAAAGAAAAAAAGAGATAGAGGCATTTTCTAGAAGTTTAAGCATGTGGTCTGTTCTCATGAAGTCACTAGAGGATTGTGATTGGCTTTAAGTTAGGTTTGTTGACTTACACAGATGGTTATATTTTAATATAAAACCCGGAAAACTGAGCTTATTGTTGTTTCCTGATCTCCTACTTCTTAAAAAATGTGTATTCCAGAGTTTAAGTGGGGGAAATTGGGTATAGAAGTTTTATTCTAAAACTCTAATATGAGGCTGCATTGAACTTTGGGAAGAGGGGTATAAATAATTTTCTTTGCAAAATAATAGATTGTCATTTGCTGAAAGCATTCAGTATATTTTAAAATATATCTCCCTGTTTGCACTCGGGGTTAATGTCAGATTCAATTTTAAGAAGAAAATGGAGAAATTCAAGTACATTTATTACAGATTTAGGAAAGCTGAATCCTGTACATGACAATTTCTCAATTTCCTAATGCTGAAGGCATCGTTATCATCCAAAGAAACTTATGTTTTCTTTAAAACACACTAGCTTCCCCTCCCTGAGCACCATATTCCTTTAGCTACCCTTCCAACTCCTCCCTGGGTCCTCTTTGATCAGCAAATAACCACTTAGTGATAGTAAAATAACTGCTGTCAGCAAGCTGTGTTGTGAGTCCTGTGATCCTAGGTTTCAGGAAACATGGATACAGGTGTAGGGATTAATATAACAAGGAAAATGGATTTATTTTGATACAAGGGAATACTGACTTATATTGAAGGAGGACTTGGAGCTAATAAAAGGTTTTCTTAGTCTCTGTGAGTTCATTCAGTGAATACCTAAACAGTCTGCTTAAGCCAGGTAGCCAGACTCTATGAAACTTGCTCTGTGAGAGAGACTGGCTTTTCTTCCTTCCGTTTCTCAAGTCTGGGTGGTGAGTAAGGGCTGGGCACTGTACTGTCACAAGTTTTTAGTAACTAAGGTGTTCCTCGCAAAAAAACATTGAGGGAAATTAGGAATGACTTACTGGGAAGCTAATTTATTTGTCTAAAGGGCAGTATGGGAATTGCTATCCTCTTGTTTGATCTGCCAAGGATTTCCTCTCAGAGCTGTTGCACAAACAGAGGTTGTACTTGGTAAGACACCAAACAGCAAATACCCAAATTTCTAATGTGTTCTATGGGTTTCAATTCTGAAAAAATAAAGATTTTAATATATATTGCTGAATCATGTTTTCCTATTAATCTTTTTTCTGTCCCCGCCAGGACTTTTTCCAGTGGTTCCTATTCCAGTCTGTTCCTATCTATTGTGTAAGGATCCGAAGATACATCTTAAACTTCCACGGGCACTGCTTCACAGTGTCCAGTGGATCAGACCCTTACATATCCTTAATAGTCTTTGAGAGGCTACTGGGTGTAACTGTAGAAGAGTTACAAGTCTTTCCTAGAATCAGCCTTCGGTGTTTCTTGTAGATTTGGTAGTTAACTTCCTTCTTACAGCTTCTTAAAAGGTGAAGAATTAGGAATTCCAAAGGACTTGTCAGCATAATACCCCTGAGGCAGGGAGAAAAGGCTGATTTCTCTGATTAGAATTCTTAGGACACCAGAATTTTCACTTTTGAAATGGAAATCCAATATCATATATCTCAACCAGACAAGCACAGTTCAGATTTCCATTTGATTTGCAGCATATTTGTGCCGATTCCTGGCATTGTATTTAAATATAGCACAGGAGCTGAAGCCTGCCATGTGTTCCTTCCTGACTTGCCACCTATGAATCCATTTGCAGACTCCATTTCAGTGTTCATTTGTTCCTCAAGAATATCAGAAAGACTGATACTAGAACTTGCAACCGAGCGACCCTCATTTTCTAAAACACAGCAGAGGCCTTAACTACCGGTGTTCCATAGGTAGGGTTTGGTAAAGAAAGCTGCAGTATAAACCCAGGGAACAGTAATGTCACAGCCTATGAGGTGTATAAATACTGTCCTGAGAATTTTATGTTCCACTGAGATGGCAGTGACGATTGTCCCTTCCCTTAAAGAGCCTCAAATCTAGTTGCAGCAGAAGAGAGCTGCTTGTAAGGCACTGAGGGCCTCAGGAGTAATGTCAAGTAGTTGCTCTGGGAATAAGGAGCAAGACAGAATTATGGTGGGGTGGAGTATGCAACACACTGAAGGAAGAGACACTGTTGTAGGTCACATACGATATGTATATAGCCTGTAACTCTAACCTGTAATCCCAACACTTAGGAGGCAGAGGCTGGAGGAGTACCACGAGTTTGAAGCCAGCCTGGTGTATGCAGTAAGGTTCAGGCCAGCCAAGGCTACAGTAGTGAGGCCCAAGCTCAGAAATGAAATAGAAACCTCATGATTCCAGAAATGGAGAACTGGGTGCTTAAAAGATGTAGTCTTCTGGGCCTGGCTCCTGTCTAGTGCCTGGGTCATGGGAAATAGCTCTTCAGAGGAATCCTGAGGTCTTCATTATGTTACCTGAGTGTACCCTCTTTTAAAATGACAGTCTCAGACCATGGTGATGCCGCAAGTGCTCTGTCACACAGATGACCATTCAACAGATGTGCTATGAAATGCTCATTTTAATGGTTTTAGACTTTGTTTACCAGGTATTTTAAAGCTAGAGACTTGACTTGTGCCCAGAAATCGTTTTCAAGGCAGTGACTCTGGCTACCTTCAGTGGGGTTGGGAAGATGTCTTGAAAGGTGAAGTCCCATATAGATGACCTTAATAAAGGTGTCAAGTGCCCGTTTTCTCCTAGAAGTGCCTGTCACATGCATGGTTTGACTCACAAGGTCTGAGCATGAAATTCTGCTTTCTGACAAGCTCTTAGGCAATGCACTGCCTTGGGTCCTTGGATGGCATTTGAGTAGCTTCCTGTAGTTTCTACAGCAGCCTCTAGATGTCCCCATCACTCATGAGCTCTTGCTGCTGGAGTTGACAGCTGGGAGTCCCCAGGCTCTCAGAGTGAGATGAAGGAATCTACTGTCTTGGTATGTGAATATGTAGCCTCCTTGTGGGGTTGATTTCTTGGTGAAATGTGCACCTCAGCCTTTTTTAGGCAAAGGAATGTCTTATAATCAAGTTAGTCCAAGAATTTCCCAGCTATTTTATTTGTAATGGAATGCTAAATCCAAACCAAAGCATCTCAGAAATTAGCACTATCCAAACATTACATGGGATTACCCCACAGTCTGAAAACTTGTTTTGGTGAACTTTTACTAATTTCCTCTTTAAATTTTTTTGAACATATTTTTAGTTTTTTATGCGTATTAGTGTTTTGCATGTATGTATGTATGTATGTATGTAAGTACACCGGTGTCCTGCAATGCCCGTGGAGGTCAGAAGAGGGCATCCAACTCCCTGAAACTAAGAGTTTTGGACAGTTGTTAGCTGCCATGCAGGTGCTGGGAATTAAACCACTGAGCCATCTCTCCAGGCCCTTTTAAAAGTTTTGTTGAAGCTAACACATGATAAACAAGCATTCTATCCCTGAGCTATATCCTGGGTCCTCATTAGTAAATTTACCACCACAGATTCACTTATAAACAACAGTATTTACTAAAGCTGTCTCAAAGGTTCTTCCAGTATTCGATTTTACATATAAATGTACATACTTTATTATATGTGAGAATAAAAGTTAACATGTACTGCTGGTAAAGATGGTGTACACCTTTAACCCTAGTGCTTGGGAAACAGAGCAGGTGGATATCAGAGTTTAAGACCAGCCCGGTGTTCTACATAGCAAGCTCCAGGACAGCCAGGGCTACATAGACTGTTTCAAAAAACCAAAAAATTAACATGTATTGAGTATTTATGAAACGTTCCTTGGATAATCTTCATAGCATCCCTATGAAGTGCATGTGGTTGGGCAATCGAGGCATAGAGCAGTTAGGTAATACCCAAGGTTACACAAACAGGACATGGTAGGGCCCATTCAGTTAATATGTTAGATTGCCAACCCATGCTCAAATGTTTGTGGGGTTAATGTCTTCAGTTTTCAAATAAGCATAAAGGTGTGTGTTTTTTGCTACTGTAATAAATACCTGAGGATTATCAAGGAAAAGTTCTATTTGGGTAACAGTATTAAAGGTTCAGGTCTATTCTTGATATAGGTTTCTGGAAAAGGTGGGCAGCACGTCATGGCAAGAGAAGTTCTTGGGGTAAAACTGCTCACCCATTTTAAAGACATGTTCCCTAATAGCCCAAAGATGACCTAGTAGGACTCAGAACTGTTTCCACCACCTCCCAACAATGCCAAGCTGGGGACCAAGCCCAACACATTGGTCTTTGGGAGATCCGGGCTATAGCATGGTGTGTTCATGATTATCCTCCAGGACACCCCAGTTTGAATAATAGTGCACTGGTGCATGGCTGGTGCCCTATGGAAAGTTCAGGTTCAATCTTGACACCACTTTGGCTAGGACACAATTTAGATACTGTCATTACTTTGCAACTGAACTCTGTTAACAGGCATTTACCTGTTTTCCCTGGCTGTTTGAAGGCAGGAGCAGATTTAGTGAGCTGCCTGTCTGATGAGGCAGTTTGCCTGTGAGGTTGATCAGACACGGGACCAGTATTCGCTTTATCTGGAGAATCCATTTCCAAATCTGTTAAACATATCAACAAAGTCCCCAGATCCTCTTAGAAAGCAGTTTCCAGTGAGGCAAGATGGTGCTTTGCCACTGGTTTCAGTAACGTACTGAGCCTGACAGTGAAGCATGCATTGAGCTCTTCTGAAATCTAATAGCCTCTGTTCCTGGTCAGGAAGAAGGGAGCAGGCAGGAAAGGAGGCTTTGAAGCAAAAGCCAGTGTGTGTCACATGCACTTTAAGGCAGCAAACCCAGCCAAGAGAGTGCACAGTACTTAGCCTGACTTCTGTAATTTTATCTCATGATTTCCCCTTGACTTGGGGGTTTCCAAAACTCAAATGCCTCATACCTAACTTCCTCTTGCTTTTGCTGGACCCACAGCCATGGATGCCTGCTGGCTATCTGCTGCTGCTGCTTTTCCCACTGCAGAGGACCCAGGCACCCTTGGCCAGCCAGCTGTCTTCTGATCACATTCTTAGGGCTGCTTCTCCACCCAGCTGACTCCCCCGCCAACAAACCGCTCCTGGCTTCCACGGTTTCACCAACCTCCTTAACAGGGTTGGCAGGAAGTTGACCTCCTAAGAGTGGGCAGGGCGCCAATGGTGACCTTATTTGGTAGACTCAGAAGGAACCAGAGCTGTCCAAAAGCCAGAGTGGTTGGCACTGGCCATTTTAGGGCCTGATGTCATCCTTGAGACTACTATGGTGCCCCAGAATAAATGCTTCCTGTGGGGTGTCCAGGGGCCGGAGTCAGGTTTGGGATTCCTACCATCCCTGGACACCAGCCTCGGTTTCGATTCTTTGATCCCTTGAAGAATGAGCAGAGCTGGCGGCGGCGGGGGCGGCCTCCGCGGGGGCGGGCCTGTCACCATAGCAACACCAATCCCCAGTCGCGCCTGCTCCGGGTGCCACAGGATCCCGGGGTCCCAGACGCTCAGAGGCGCGAGTGGAGCGGACCGGCCATGCTTCGCGGCGCGCTCTGGCTGCTGCTGTTGCTGTGGCTCCCGGGTGCGCCGGGCCACCGCGGCGCCACCAGCGCGAGGCAGGTAGCCGACGAGCCGGCCTCACCCGGGGCCTGGGCGGGCATCCAGCGGATGCAGGAGCAACTGCAGACGGCCGGGACCCTCTCCAGGCGGTACTGGGCGCTCTTCAGCTGCGCCGTGTGGCCTGACCACTGTGACGACCAGGAGGCCACCGCTCCGCCGCTGGGTAAGAGCGGTCCCCGCCGCCGACCCCAGCGCACGACCAGCCTCTCTGTTCCGCGCACGCGGCTGGAGCAGGGGCAGCCTTGGCGGTTCAGGAAGCAGGGTCACTGCCCTCACCTACCCGCGTTGCCCTGGTGCAGCTCCTGGGGACAGCTAGAGGCCTGGCTGCTCTGCCGCAACTCACCTCCCGGAGACCAGAGTACGCTTCTGGCCTCCCAGCCCCACGGGTGGTGAAAGGCGCTGCTTTTTCCCGCCTTCTTGATGGCCCAGGGAAAGCCCTTTGTAGACACAACTGGTGACTGTCCCCAACCCCAAGTATGTTGGCCTCTGCTGCTTAGGAGGCAGCGCTGGAGTACATGCAGGGAGCCTGGCTGGGAACTGGGACCTGAATTCTGGTTCTGGCACGTCGCTGAGAAACTGTGGAGGCCTGTCTCATCCTGTCCCTGTGCCTCACAGCATCTCCTTTTCTAGGCTGGAGCCTTCTTCAGTGGGGCCAGCGGTCCCTGGATATCCTGTCCACGTGGTTCTGTCGCTTCCAGGAATGCTGCACAGGTGGCGGGGATTGCAGGATTTCCAACAACTTTGCAGGTTGGAGCTGGCATGGTTTCCAGGGGCCTGGATCGGTAGGGAGGGCTGGGGAGGCAACTGTGGGGAAGTGGTTAGGGAGCAACCTTTGCCTCCTAATCAGGAATTGCTACAGTAAGAGGAAAGTCCGATCTGCTGCAGTTATTTGAGGATCTTCTTTGGGCAAGACATTGAACTCCAGGATCTCCAGAAAGAGCACCCTCCAATAGGAAGGGCATAGCACCACCTTCAATGGTGTCTTTATAGGATTTTACATCCTCCTATCTAGGATCAGGCACCCAAACACTTCCACTATGTGAGTGTTTTGGTAGTGCTAGTCCTCAGGCATGCCAAGCAAGTAAGTAGTACTCAGTCCTTAGCCTCCATCCTGTTTTTGAAAGAGAACCAAGATACTTAAATCACCACAAAGAAGCCTTTTTACCCCCCAGTGCTGGGGGACCCTTTTTACCTTTAGTTTAATGGCTCAGAGCTTATTGGGATCTATGAGAACCTAAGTGTGTCACTCCTGGCTACAGCTGGGAGGGGACACAGATATATGACAGGCCCTGTCACCATCTACTTAGGCTGTTCATGCACGCACACCCCCTCACTGTGCCCTGCCATTCGTGGGAGTGGGTCTGAGGAAGATGAAGCGCACATCTCTATAGAGCCCCTGAATGTACCAGGCCCTGTGCTAAGAGTTTTGCAGAGATGAGTCAGAATCTGTCATAGCCTAAGGCCTTTCAGGAGAGTCAGGGCCAGAGCACCCTGTCTCTAAACAAGAACAGCACTCTCTCAGACAGTGGGTAGGAGGAGTGTGGAGCCAGAAAACAGATCAGAAATTGTAGTTAAAATGTCCCTTTCTCAATACTGGGGAGATGTCTCACTTGGAAAAGTGCCTGCAGAGCAATCATGAGGACCTGAGTTCTAATTCCCAGCACCCACGTAAAAGCCAGGCACAATGGAGCACACCTGTCACTCTAGCGTTGGGAGGCCGAGATCTCTGAAGCTCATTGGCCAGGTGAATCCACGAACAACAGGTTCAGTGAGAGACCCTGTCAAAAAAAAAAAAATAGGGTGGAGAGTGATTAAGGAAGACACCCAACGTTGACCTTTATACACACACGCACACACACACACACATATACACGCACACACGCACGCACGCATGCACGCCCAAGATCCCTTTCTAGTCATGTGTGGTGTCACACTCCGGTGATCCAAAACTTGGGAAGCAGAGACATGAAAATAATGAGTTTGAGGCCAGCCCCGACTACATAGTAAGACACCAGTCTCAAAAAAGAAGTGTCAGTTTCTTTTTTAGCCAGCAAATGTCTGGAGGTATAACCTGGATTTTTTGGTTTATCTTGATAAAGTGAGGTTGCCTCAGTGGTCTGCAATCTGAGAGAAATGGGTTGTTACTATAAACCAATTCATACCATCATGTGGATTGAAATCACTCTCGCAGGATGCCCTCCCCTTCCAGTCCTGTTGCATATGAATCACTGCCAACCAGCCTCCCTCTCTACTTTTTATCACTTAAGGCAATTTATTTGTATATTGCAGGTAGTTTGCATTTTAACTCTTTAGTATAATATTTAGCCTCCCTCACAAAACCTGTTCCAACAAAAGTCCAGTTTGCTAAACTTCCTCTTTTCCCCAGATGCAGTTTCTTGCCTGGAGTTCTCCTGATTCCAGCTCTTGTATCTCTATCCATGAGAACTTGAGTTCAATTCTCAGCCCTCGCATAAAAGCCATCACAGTGGTTCAGCCTTGTAATCCCAGCAACAGGGAGGCTGAGACAGAACGATCTCTAGGGCCTGCTGGCAAGCCAGTCTAGCCAAATTGGTGAGCTCCAGGTTCAATGAGAGACCTTGTCTTCAGAAATAAAGTGGAGAGCAGGGTGCGGTGGCACAAATCTTTAATCCAGTACTTGGGAGGCAGGCAGAGGTAGGTGGATTTCTGTGAGTTTGAGGCCAGCCTGGTCTACATAGTGAGTTCTAGGCCAGCCCACACAGGGTCCGGCATAGGTCAGAATCTGACCATATGCAGATCAGGTCAAGAGGTCTGCATTTAGATTTCTGCCAGCTGAGGCAAAGACCCTAGCTTACACAGTTAGCAAGTCACCTCTTAAACTGCCTGTTGTTCCCCAGGGCCTGGATAGCCAAATTGCTCCCACTGGGAAATCAGAAGAGGCTGTGTGGGATTCTTATATTTTGTCTCTTACCAGCTGCCAACCTCGGGCAGACTTCTCCAAGTCCCATTTTCTTCAACTCTAAATGAGAATAATCACACCTGCCTCACAGAATTATTGTGAAGATGAAATTTAAAGCAGCATGGCTCTGAGGACAGGGGAGAAAGCTGCAAATGTCTTTTTTCCCTTCGTGACACCAGTGGGTTTTATTTATTTTTATTTTATGAGTGTTTTGCCTGTGTGTGTGTAAGTGCACCTATGTGTGCAATGCTTGCTGAGGCCAGAAGAGGGTGATGGATCCCCTGGAACCGGAGTTATGGATGCTGGGAACTGTGTGGGTGCTGGCAACTGAACCTAGTCCTCTGCAAGGGCAGCTGGTGCTCTTAACCATTAAACTATCTCTCTAGCCCTGACACCAGTGATTTTGAAAAATGTGTGATGTCGGTAGTGATTTATGGAAAGCTTTGCTAAAGTTTCAGAAGTCCCTCTGGGTTGGCTCGGGGTGCTCAACCAGTTGGTCCTGAATTCTGAATGGCCAGTACCTCACCCCAACTGGCAGCACAGAACCCCTGTCCCTAAATTGTGCCCTTTTCAGAGGGGAGAGCAACGCAGGCCTGGCTTTGGGAAGCCACTCTCAAGAATGTGCTGGATCGAGATGGAATAGATGAAAAGGGAACAGGTACATCTGAAACGGGATGGGAGTACCCTGAGGTGTGACTGGTCCCCCCACACTGCCCTGTGCCTCCCATTCTGGGGTGTCCAGAAAGAGTGATTCCACTCTCCCCAAGTTCAATCTTGATTTTTTCAAACTCTTCAGAAAATGACCCTTGACTCTTCTGTGAGGTTGGCCCTCTGGCTTCTTGTTCTGAGGTCACATGGAATGAGTAGCATATCATACCTCAGAGACAGAGATGCTGGAGTGGGGAGAGTATATGACCTTGTGCTTCACTGTGGCCTTTCTTGCTTCTAGGCCTAGAATCGGACTTGCGTGTGCGACTGCATGGCCAGCATTTGGCTGGCAAGCTGGTCCTAAGAACAGTGAGGGGCTACCTAGAGACACCCCAGGCAGACAAGGCCCTAGCACTGTCATTCCATGGCTGGTCTGGCACAGGCAAAAACTTCGTGGCACGGATGATGGCAGAGAACCTGTTTCGGGATGGGCTGAGGAGTGACTGTGTCAAGATGTTTATTTCCATGCTCCATTTCCCACACTCCAAGTATGTGGACGTGTACAAGGTGAGGCTGCAGTGCTGGGGAGCCTTGGCTTTGGGCTAGGGTGGGAGTGAAGCCCTTGTGCTGAGGAGATGCTATATCACAAGGCGTGGGCTCTGGAGTGGCCTAGTGCAGGGTGGGGGCCAGGAGGGCACTGCAACAAAATCTGCTGGAGCTCCCAGCACACTCCTGAGCTCTGTCTCTCTAGCTGGACTTGTATGTATTATCTGTTCCACACATCTCCAACAGATGGCTATAAGTTAATGCTTGTAGGACATATAAATAATTACTACTAATTTCCAACTTAACAACACACGCACTATACAGTATTATTTTTTTTATCGCAAATAACAGTTGCACATGAGAGGCCAGGGATGACATCAATAGAATCTTGGACTGTTTTTTGTGGCAAAGTGGTGAGATGGAGCCAGGTGTAGCGGCACATGCCTGCAATCCCAGCATGTGGAGGCTGAGGCTGGGAAATCTTGAGTTCAAGACCAGTCTCAAAAAAGTAGAGAAAAGTGTAATTTTCAGGACCCCCTGCCTCCCAGGTGGTCTCATTAGGAACTGCAGTTAGTGTTCTGAATGCCTGCTGGTGGCAGGCGCTCCCCCTGCCTGTGCATGCCTCTGTAACTTTATTGGACAGAAAAGTGCATGCTCCGTTGGGTTGTGTTTTGTTTTACTTTCTCCAGATTTATATTAGGCTGCAAATATGTGACTGGGCTTGACAAGCACCACTGCATGGATTCGAACACAGAAGTGTGAGTTGACACTGTTACTGAGCCTTCCTGTTAGACAGAAAACAAAGTTCAGAGAATCTTATTTCAAATGGGGTTTTGTCTAAGTGTATCACCAAACAACGAACAATGAAAGCAACAATTTGAAAGTTTCTCAAATAGTGATTTGAATTTCATTACTCTTTTTTTTAAAAAAAAAATTAAATAGGATGGTTCGTAGCCGCCATGTGGGTGCTGGGAATTGAACCCAGGTCCTCTGAAAGAGCAGTCAGTGCTCTTAACCACTAAGCCACCTCTCCAGCCCCTACTCTGTTTTTTGAAAGCTCTCTCTGTGTAGCCCTGGCTGGCCTGGAGCTCATGATCCTCCTACCTCAACATCCTAAGTCCTGGGATCATGCTCAGCTTTTTCTTTTTTTTTCTTTTTTTTTTTTTTTTTTTTTGTTTTTTTTTTTACTGTAGTGCTATAGAGATTGAACTGAGCACCAGTATTTGAGGCAACAATCCACTGCCAGGCCATACTGCAGCAATGTTTTTTAAGGGATATCATAAGTGACCCTCCATTTCTTCCCATCACAGCTCATTTTATGCCAACAAGAGGGTGCACAGACTGTTACCTTCCTGCTCTATTTGGGGTCGAAAATGAGCAAGCTCACTGCAGCCAGACAGTGATGACCACACGCATCTTTGACTTTCATTTGTAGTACTTGGTGTAAACTAAGATGATGATGTAAGCCTTGAGGGCGAGCTTGCTGAGTCACCTGGCAGTTTCAGGATAGCCTTGGAGGGTGAACTGTCCCCAAACCTCAGGTGTGCTGAGGCCAGGCAGCCAGTAGCTGAGCTTTCCTGGGAGGAATTCTCTGGTCAAAACTGCTGCAGATGTTGCTTGCCCACTGAAAAACTGAAGTGTACATACACTGTCACACCCACATGCCTGGGCGAGCTAGAGCTGAAGTCAGATGCCAAGGAGGCTGTAGATGGACAGAAGTGGAGGCTTTGTGGAAGCTGTCCTGGAGTATATATCTCTGCCCAGGCCTGAGGACCACCACAAAGAAGTGTGATTCAATGGAGGGTTTGCTGCCATCTTGTGGTGAGGCACCCACAATAGCCCCCTGTGGAAAACCCCAGGTTCCATACTACCTGTGCACCAAACAGAGCAGGCTGCCCCGCCCCCCCATGAGATCTCTGCCCAGTCTACTTGCCAGTGGGCACTTTGCTCCTGGGAGGTCAAAGGACTGTGGCCAGCAGCCTCTGGGCCCTTGAACTTCTGTTCTGCCCATCTCCTCCACCGCTTGGCCTGACTCCTGTCCCTGGGGAGGGTAAGGTGAGCCATAGCTCCCAGAGAGGAGAGCCAGTCTGAAGCTTGGGCCTGTTTCCATGGAGGAGGAGATTCTCATGTGCTTCCAGGCCTTCGCCTGTTCTCCAGGTTGGGGGGCAGGGCGGGGGAGGGAGTGTACCACACCCAGGTACAGGAGCATCACCTTGTTAGGGACACTTGTTAGGGTTGTAGGCGCCAGCACAGGGCTTAGGTTTAGTACTTCTAGTGGAGCCCAGCCTGAGGTGCTTCATTGCACCTGTGCTGGGGAAATAGGTTTCCCCATTAGATGGGTCCCCCAGACCCCAGCAGCTGTGTGTGTCCTGTGCAGGAGCAGTTGCTGAGCCAGATTAAGGAGACACAGCAGCGCTGCCGTCAGAACATGTTCATCTTTGATGAGGCCGAGAAACTGCACCCGGCACTGCTGGAGCTTCTTGGGAAACACCTGGAACTTAGGGCCCCTGAGGCCCATAGGGCTGAGTCTTCCAGAACCATCTTTGTCTTTCTCAGGTGAGGTCTGATGAGTAGCAGGAGGGCAGAGGAGGGGAGGATTTTGGCTGACAGTACAGGGCTTCTCAGGAAACCAAAGCTTGGAAGCAGGTAAGGGACACTTAGGTCTCCCTGTTCCTGCTGGATTCTCTTGCATCACTTTTTAGGGACTCAGGCAGCCCAAGCTGGCCCACAGGACCTGCCTAGTGAAGAGGAGCTACCTGTCTGTGCACTGCTTCCTCAGAAGGGCCACTTACACAGAGCCCCTGTGAAGGGCCTGGGCTTTCAAGTAAGCCATTTGTTCTACCCTTAAAAGTCCTTCAGGATTCCATGAAGTCCAGCAAGGCCAGTTCTCATCCTGCCCTGGAAAGTCTATTCTCTGATCTGAAAGAAGCCAAGCATAGCATTTGCAGTCGGGTGTGCAAGGCTGCTGAGCAGGGCTCCAGAATTGCTGGGCTTTTGTTCTCCCAAAATGGCCAGTGGGAAGCAGGCAAAAAAGAAACTTGTTCAACTTAAATGCTTTGCTAAAGCTCCTTGCAGACGCGGTTGCAAACCCATTGCTTCCTTTTCTAGTCATGTGACTATTCTAGTTTTCCACAGGCTGGCACCTGCTTGAAGATTTTCTAGTGCATTAGGGACACTTTGGAGGTAGGGATGATTTTGTCCTGAGCTTGGAGAGTGGAAGGCTGAACTGTGGAAGGCATGTCTGGTCTAGGGTGGTCCCTCAAAACAAGATGGCAAAGATTTAAGCCATTGCAAGTTTAGGTCTTGACACATTGAAGGCAAGTACCTTCATGTGAAGGGGGAGGAAGGAATAGGGCTGAAGGTAACTTTAAAAGAGCTGTGTGGGGCTGGGGAGATGGCTCAGCAGTTAAGAGCACTGACTGCTCTTGCAGAGGACCTGGGTTCTATTCCCAGCACCCACATGGCGGCTACGAACCATCCTTAACTCCAGTTCTAGGGGAATCCGAAGCTGTCTTCTGACCTCCATGGCATTGCACGACACGGGTGCACTCACATGCATACACATACTCTCATACACATAAAATGAAAATAATAAATAAAATATTTTTATTAAAAAAAAAAACAAAACTGCTGCTGGGTGTGGTGGTGCACATCTTTAATCCCAGCACTTGGGAGGCAGAGGCAGGCAGATCTCTGTGAGTTCAAGGCCAGCCTGGTCTACATAGTGAGTTCCAGGACAGCTGGGGCTACAGGGAGACCCTGTCTCAAAAAGACCAAAAACAAAACAACAAAAAAAGAGCTGTCTGTTGACAAACTAGAGTGCCAGAATGAGGACTGGTAATTGAGGTAGTTGCTGTCCCCAGCTACCAAGGCAGCTCAGCTGTCCTGTGACACTCCAACACACAGAAGAGGCTTGCATCTCAAACTTGGCAAACCCTCCCCACTCCCATGAATGTCCAATGTGACCCACTGACCCTCCTATTGATCACTGACCAGCTGGCAGTGGTCCTACCCTTTCCCCTAATGACCTGCTGCCCTCAATGGACAGACAGAGGCCTCATGGTCACACACAGCAGTCCATCAAGCTACCTGACAGCAGCTGAGCCTGCCCTCCAAGGAGGTCTCTTGCCTATGATAATCTCAAGAGCCTCTTAGAAAGGTGTGACCAGGTTTCCAGAGGCTCTGCTGCAGGGTTGCACCAAGGCCTCCTAGGCCATGGGTAAGGCTGTCATAGGCCACTTCTGGCTATGCGGAACCACAGTCCCCAGCATCCCGTCATCCTCCTCCCTAGGGTGCCCCAAAGCAGCCAACTCTAATCCCTGCCTCAACATTACCAGGTGTTCTGAGGCAAATGTGTTTTGAGAATTGGCTCTGGACTTGATTTCTACAATGAACTTCAGTTTGTCTTCCCTTTGTGGTTGAGATGACAGTGGTTCTCTTCCTCTACCATTCTCCACCTTGTTTTTCTTTTTTGAGACAGGGTCTCTGAGTCAACCCAGAGTTCACCTTTTCAGATACACTGGCTGGCCAACAAGCTCCTAAGATCTACCTGTCTCTGCCCCTCAGAGCTGAGGTTATAGGCACACATAACCATACTAGCTTTTTATGAGAGTCCTGGGGCCTTGGACTCAGATCTTCAGATTCATGCAACGAACACTTTACTCAATGAGCCATCTGCCTAGCTAGCCTGTTCTAAACTGCATTTTAATTCTGAAAAATACTCCAAGCTTACTGTTGAAATGAAGTGCTGGTGGCAGGTGGAGGCAGTGAAGCACAGTGGGGCTTGTTCCCCTACATGCACAGAAGCCAACATTATAGTGCTAGGTTTTTGCAAAAAAGTGAGTTTTCTTTCCCTAGCCTTGGCCTACCATTCACGCTTATGCCTTAACTCTTGAAGCCCACAGCTCTCTGCTGCATCCTGATGTCCAGACAGCCCATTCCCGCCTTGGGTCTGACAGGCACAGCTGTTTGCCTTGGTGGAAGCCTTGTGCTCGCTCCTCGGTTCCATGCTATCATGAATGACATCTCATTCACATCCAACCTGCATGCCACATAGAACTTGGGTGCTCCCTGCACCAAGCAGACTCACCATGTTTGCCAAAAGGGAGTGAAGAGGTGGGATGGGGGGAGGAAGCAGGACAGTGCCTTTTTGCTGCCCCACCATGCAGCCTCCAACACTAGGCCCTGCTGCCAGTGGTCAGATACCACTGTGAGAGGGAGTGAGGGAGTGTGGAAAGAAAAGCATCTGTTAACAAGTCCTTGTCTCTTCCAGTAACCTTGGGGGCAGTGTCATCAATGAGGTGGTCCTGGGTTTCCTTAAGGCTGGATGGTCACGGGAAGAAATTACAATGGAACACTTGGAACCCCGCTTCCAAGCTGAGATCATGGAGTCCCCAGGTAAGTGAGATACAGTCTCTGCCAAGAGCCATAGCCGGAGTGATTAGTATGTACACTGGATATGGGATGGTGAGGGTGTTTGAATATAGAAGCCACACCACAATCATCTCAAACTGTCAACTTCTGGTGGCCCAAGTACAAGAAAACTTAAACTCCTTTTCCGAAGAGACTTAGAGGGTCATTTGCTTGGCCACAGAAATACAGCCATGTAGACTAACAGTCTCCTTGAGGGAACAGTGCAGGTGGCTCAGCCCCAGCCAGGGTAGGATGGCTCCACCTCTGCTTCCTGCCACTGAACAAAGCCACGGTCCTGGTAGAGGGGCCCCATCATGCCACCCTACAGTCACACTCATCCTGGAGCTTTGTGCCCAACTGCAGACACCTATGCAGACAGCATTCCTGCAGCTGCCATGAGAGACCAGATCTTGCCAGGCCTCAGGTTTAGGAACACTTAAAGCTCCTGCTGGATTCAGCCCCAGGTAACTTTGGGTCTTGATTTCAGACAGTGGCTTTGGCCAGAGTCGTCTTGTGAAGGACAACCTGATTGACATCTTTATCCCCTTCCTGCCCCTGGAGTACCGTCATGTGCGCCTGTGTGTCCGCGATGCCTTCTTGAACCAAAAACTCCAGTACACAGATGCAGCCCTGGATGAAATAGCCAGGATGATGACATACATCCCTGAGGAGGAGCAGCTCTTCTCCTCCCAGGGCTGCAAATCTATTTCCCAGAGAATTAACTACTTCCTGCCTTGATAGCTAATCATGGACCTGCCACACATGCTGGGGTCTAACAATCACAGATACTAGCTAGTGTGGAGAAGGCAGCTGCTAACTCAGAAGCAGCAGCAATTCTTAGAAATCACTTGGTGCCTTAAAGACCTGAATTCTAGACATTCTAGAATGTGGGTCAGGAAGCTGGAGAAAGCCAGGGGAGGTCAGCGGGTCCCAAATGGCCCTCGGAACTTAAACTATGTATGGCCTCCTTTCCCATGTCTTCCTGGAAGGTATCTGGACTTGAGACATGAGCTGTGAGGCCACAGGATTCTTGGGCTACAAAACGTGGAGGAATGAAAATCTGGCCAGGTGGTGGGGAGTACACCTCAGGTTTGCAGGCATGGTGGCTGGCTTTCAAGAGAGGATGAGCAACTCTAATCTGTAGTAGATCAGCAAAGAGCTTTGGACTACAGGGAGAAGTGCACAAAAGAAGATAGTTAAAAACAAAACAAAACAAAAAAAAACCAATCTGTGTGCTGGTTGGGGTTGGGAGGTGGCGCACACCTATGATCCCAGAAAACCTGGGTTGCCTCCTGAGTTTAATTCTAGCCCCAGCCAATGAGACCCTGCCTCAACAAACAAAACCATGTGAGTGCAAACTAAGGCATGTTCTGCTCTGAAAACTAAAAGTATTTTAAATAAGAGGCTGTGGTGTGAATGTCAAAGATTAAATTTTGTATTTTTCTAACATCCTTGGTCTCCTTTTTTAATGACACCTAGTCATTGTGCTCACTTAGCAAATTTCAGATGCCAGGTAACCCTGATGGGGATTGATGGAAATGGGGTGGATGCTAACCCAGCATGTGGCTGGCCTGCCAGTCTGTCTCATTTCACTTTGGCATTCCAGCAGAGCTGAGTCACACCAGTTTCTTATGAAATCCAAGGCTCAGTACTCTCAGACATAACTGCTCCCTGTCCCCACTGAGCACTGACAAGGAAAGCTCTTGTTTCTGAGGATGAACTGGCATGGCTGAGGTTACCCTCTTTCTTGGCTGGCCCCTTTTACACTTCTGAAATGACACACAGGTCTTTTTGGTTTGTCCTAGACTCCCCTCTTTTATTAAAGCCCCCCCCCCGACCCTCTTATTTTTAGCTCTTGTAAAGTGGAACACTCTACCTCCCCCGTTTAGCATTTGGTATTCACCTGCTCAAGGTTAGGAAGTACCTAGCCCAGCCATATTAGGTACTCAGGTAATGAATTGAAGGAGCTTTGCTTGAAAGGGGATTGTGGATAGTCAAAAGTCCTTCTTGCCCCTATATTCTGGAAATTCTATGGTTTTTAGGAGCTCTTCTGCCACAAACCAGAAATGAAGATCACATATTACTATGAAACAATATCACGAGGTGTTTAATAATAATAAAAGGCCTAATAAGGCTTTGTTAACTTTCTTATTCAAGCCAGGTATTGTGGCACTGCCTAAAAATCTCAGTACTGGGGAGGATGGAGCAGGGGGATCTTGAGTTTGAGGAAAGGCTAGGCTGCGTAGGGAGAGCCTGTCCCCAAAAACCAATTGAATCACAACAACAACAAAAAAAACCCCTGCAGTCGAGACCAAATAAAGCCCAGACCATTTACATCCCATTCAGCAGCTTCGCACATTCTTCTCTACTGCATACGGGGTGCTCCAGGATAGGCAATGTATTACACTACTAAACAGGTCTTCACTGATTCAGTAAGACTGAAATCCTAGCAAATAACTTGTGATCACAGTGGCATGAAACTAGGAATCTGAGGAGGAACTTCAGAAACTTTACATGCTCTAGAATAACAAACAGGTTAGTGAAGAGATTAAAATGGGAAAATTTTAATTTCTTGAGACAAAACAATATACCAAATCTATGTGAAAAACGGTACTTTCTGAGAAAGTACACCAATATACACATCCAAAAATATAGCCTCTGACACTATACTTCAAGGAATTAGAAAAACAAGCACTAAGCCCCAAATTAATAGGCTAACATCACAATGGAACTAAATGAAGCAGCTAGGTGTGGTGGTGCACAACTGTAATCACCTGTAATCCTGGCACTCGGAAGGCTGAGGCAGAGGACTGAGAGTTCCAGAGAACTTGGGCTGTCTAGTGAATCTGAGACCAGCAGGGGCTCTATAGCAAGACCCTGTCTCAAAAAGAAAAGGATGATCAAAACAAGGTCTTGCTATAGAGCCCCAGCTGGCCTTAAGCTCATGCTGTAGTCCTAAAATGACCACCTGTTCCTTTTGCCTCCATCTCCCAAGTGCTGTAATTATGCATGTGCCAGTATACCTGATTTTACTTGATGCTGGGGCTCAAATTTAGAGCTGGGTAACTAAGCTACATCCCCAGGTCCTGAGAGAGACCCTAAATAATAAAATGCACTATAAATAATAAATAAATGCACTATACACTAAAAAGTTAAGAAAAAGAAAAAAACACCAAAACTACCACCAAAACCAAGGGATCAATGAAAGTTGTTGGGGTTTTTATTTTGTTGTAAGATAAACGTCATTACCAGCTTTAAAAAAAGGGGGGGGGGGATGGTGGTGAGGGCGTCAACTTAATAAACACATGAAAAAGGAGGCATTACTGGTAACACATAAACACAAAAGATTCTAGAAAACCATTATGAATACATGTCAACAAATTATGCAGAAGAGACAAATTCCTGTATATACACAGCTTATCAAGATTAAGTCATGAATAAATAAAAAACTGGAAGACTTTCAACAATTATATGAATCAATAATTTAAAAAGACTCACAGCAAAGAGAAGCCCAGGACCTGATGGCTTCATGCTGAATTCTACCATTTAAAAAAAACTTTTAAGGGGCTGGAGAGCTGTCTTTAGCAGTTAAAGAGCTCTGGCTGCTCTTGCAACGAACCTGGGTTCGGTTCCCAGCACCCATGCGGTGACTAACAACTGTCCGTAACTCCAGTTCCAGGGGATCCGATGCCCTCTTCTGACCTCCACTGGCATTGCATGACATGGCTGCACTTACACACATGCAGGCAAAATACTCAGACACAAAAATAAATACAATTTTTAAAAGTTAAATTTATTTTTATGTATGAGTGTTTTGCCTGTATGTCTGCAAGTACACCCATGTCATGCAGTGTCCATGGAGGCCAGAAGAGAGCATTAGATCCTCTAGAACTGGAGTTACGGATGTTAGCCACCACATGGATGCTGGGAACGAAACCCAGGTCCTTTAGAAAAGCAGTCAGTGCTCCTAACTGTTGAGCCATCTCCCCAGCCCCTGAAAGTAGAGGCAGGAGAATTGATTATGTTCATAGAGTACAACTTATCAGAAAATGTCCATATTACCAAAGTTATCTACAGAGTTAATCTTAACTCCCATATTACCAAAGTTATCTACAGAGTTAATCTTAACTCATATCCCATGCAAAAATCACCTCAAAAATGTTTAAAGGCTTACATGTAAAATCTGAAACTATAAAACTGCTAGAAAACTGGAGAAATGTTCCATGGCATTAATATGGGCAAGGATTTATTATTGCCAGTAGCAAGGCAATACAGGGGCACTAAGTTACAAATGGGATTTCATTCAACTAGAAAGCTTCTAAGCAGTAAAATAAACAATCAGGACAGACAACCTCTAGATTAGAAGTAAATATTCTTCTGAGTTCTGTTCCCAGAACCCATGCTGGGCAGCTCACAATGACCTGTAACTCCAGCTCCAAGGGATCCAGTGCCCTCTTCTGGTCTCTGTGGCACCGGACCCCTTGCTACACACATACACATAAATAAAAACAAATCTTAAAAAAAAAAAAAGACTATAGGTACAACCAGCTAGAAGAAAGAGTTTGAGGCTGGGCATGGTGACACACGCCTATAATGTCAGCACTCAGGAGAGGCAGAACCAGGACAAATCAGGAGTTCAAGGCCAGCCAGGTCTACATAGCAAGATTGAGGCCTAGTGACATAGCAATAGTGAGCCAGATGTGGTAACATACTCCTTTAAGTCTAGCACACAGAAGGCAGAGGCAGGTAAATCTCTTTGAGTTCCAGGCCAGCCAGAGCTACATACTGAGACACTGTCTCAGAAAAACAAACAAACAAACACATAGTATCCCATAAATATGTACAGTTTTTATGTACATTAAAATTAAAATGTAGTAAAAATAGAATACACTTTCAATAGGACTGCTTTAAATAAACTGTAATGTGTAATATTTCAATGTACATATATTCTTTGGGAATGTTGAAACAAACACACACACACACACAGAACTACCAAATGATGCAGTAATCCCACTTCTGGCGATGTACTGAAGGGAAATAGAATCATCAAATCAAACAGACGTCTACACTCCCATGTTCATTGCATTGTTAAATCAACTGGAGTTTTCACTGGCAGACGAAAGGGTACTGGAAATGTCCAGACACACAAATGGAAAACTATGTGTGCATAAAAAGAATAAAATCCTGTCATTCGTGGCAACATGATGAGTGTGGAGGACAGTGTACCACCTAAGATAACCCAGGCACAGAAAAACTGATTTTGCATGACTTTGCTCATACACAGAATCTAAAGGAGCTGATCTCATGAAGGAGAGTAGGAGAGTGGTTACCAGAGCCTGAGAGGACCATGGAGGGCAACAGTGAAAATACTGGTCTATGGCCACAGCTACCAAGTGATAGGTAAATAGGAGAAATCAGTTCAGGTGTTCTGATGCACAGTAGAGTGACTATGGTTGACAATACTGCATTAAACACTTCAAAACAGCTAGAAGAGGGGGTTTTGAATGTTCTCACCAGAAAGAAGGTCCCAAATATCCTAAATACTCTGATTTGGTTATTACAGTGTAAACATATGAACACCATGCATAAGCATCAAAACGAAAATGGGGGAGGGTTGGGAATGTAGCTTAGTTGGTAGAATGTTGGCCTAGCATGTATGAAGCCCTGGGCTCCATCCCCAGCACTGTATAAACTGGGCATGATGATGTAAACTTGTAATCCTAGCACTTGGGAGGTGGAGTCAAGGATCATAAGATCAAGGTCAAGGTCATGGTGAGTTTGAGGCCACCTTGGGATACATGAGACCCTGTCTCAAAAGCATTAAAAAAAAAAAAGGGAAAACCAAGAGTGGTGGTACATGCCTTTGGTCCCAGCACTCGGGAGGCAGAGGAAGGAGGATCTCTGTGAGATTGGGGCCAGCCTGGTCTACATAGTTTGTTCTATGCCAGCTGGGGCTAGAGAGACCCTGTCTCAAAACAACCCAACAACAACAAAAACAACAGGGAGGGACATAAGTTTGAATTTAAAAAAAGAATGCTCCCTTTTGAGAATTTATACTTTATTAATTATTGTCAAGACATTTTTAAGAACTCATTTATATTGGTGTTTAGAATGGATTTTGGGAGGATTAAATCTCGATAGGGTCCCTTCACGTTGGAGACACACAGCCACATATTACCTACCTTATGTATGCTAGCCTGGACTCCAGAGGACATCCTCTGTAAAACATCTGTCACAGGATGAGTAACCCCATAGAAAGCATCCATAAAGTGGAGGTGCTTGTTTAAAATCAGCTGCTTTATCTCAGTCATCTATTTTATACACACAAGGAGACATTCTGCTTAGCCTTCCTGTCAATTAAAATCATGGGAGAAATACTCCAATCTTGAGCCTACTTTGCCAATAAAATATTTCAACCTTTATTTAAAACAAAACACAACTTGCAAACC